AGGAAGATGAGGATTCTTCAGCCCACGGCCGCCAGGAAGACCCTCACCACTCACTGCGCGCACGTGAGCAGGGGCCGCGTGCTGATGGGCTCAGAATGGAATGAATGTGATCTGATTTCCTGGGAACTCCTGATCACGTGTTACTTTGGCCTCTACCTGGAGCACGCTTTTTCCTGAAGCTGTGCGACTTAGGAGCAGCTCTCCCCCTTGCACCCAGCATTGCAGCCCTGATTAAACATACCTGCTTTTGTAATACTCTGTGGTCATAGAGTCTGATTCCACATGTCAGTGTGTGCCGCTCCTCAGGGCAGCGCATGCCAGGGCCCTCCTTGGGAAACATTTCTTCCTGCTATGGAACCCACCGAGCACTCGGGCCGGCACTCTCCAAATAAACACGTGGTGCTGACAGACTTATTGCGGGCCAGACGACGAATCCGCTGCTGGGACAGCAATGCCTGTGCCCAGCGGGCCCATCTGTGTGCGTGGAGGGAGAGAGGGGCGGTGGGCCCCGGGGGGCCGCAGCTGTCACTGAGATAAGAAATGTCTCTGCAGAGCTGGAAGTCAGGAGCTGAGGAGATATGAAGGGCTCCCATTGTGCTCCTGAGTGCCCCTCCTCTCCTGGCTGCACGCTGAGAGCAGGTGGAGGCGGGAACAAAGGGCAGGAGCAAGGGCAGAGAACTTTTTTGCTTTTTCAATCTTCCAAGAAAAAAAAAAACCACACAACTGAAATCTTTCACATACGCATGGAATCTGTTGAGTCCCAGCCTGAACCACTGGTTCAGCACCTGCGGAAAGGAGCTGCTCAGCCCTGGAAGCAACAGGTGAAGGCAATCCAGCTGTGTGACAGGAAGGGTTGGAGCCTGGCTGCACCTCTCTCAGACCTCATGTAAGGGCTGACTGCAGCTGGGGAAGGATCTCTTTCTGGAGATCCCTCCTTGGTGATGCTTCTTCCTGTGAACCTGGAATCTTCTGATATGGGTGAGCAATCTTCTTCCCTTCCTTTATAGTACCTCTCTATGGTGCCAGTCCTTCCATCATCACACCTCTGTTGTAATGCCTTTCCTAGTCACAGGATCACAGAATGGCCCGGGTTGGAAGGGACCTCAAGAATCATTTCTTGCAATACCAATTCTTAACAGCAATTTTACAATGGAGCATGAAAACAAATCCGCTCAAAATCAAGCCTGGAATGACACACCTGGAGAGTTTTCAGGAAATACTGCAATGAAACACAACATTAAATAAAAAATAACCCAACACAGCCACATAATCTAAACTGACCTTAAAAACTATCAGTGTCTAACTACTGTTATTTTAGAGTTGTGGATCTCTTTAGCAGCCACCAATTTACTCAGCCAGCCGTTATAAACCTTAGTTTTTCATAATTGCACACAGGCTGATCCAAAAGTAATGCCTCCTGTTTTATAAAGCTGGCCCACAACATCACAGGTGGACGCTGGTGGGATGACAGCAGAGGTTGAACCTTCCTGCCAGCATTCATCCTACTAAAATTCAAGGGCAGTCTCAAACAGTGACATTTTTAGGAATTCAGAGGCATTTTGGGCATTGGGGAATACTACCCAAAATTCGACACAACATTTCAGACTTTGCAGTACCCTGTAATAAGAATGAGGCACAGCAGTGTATTGGGTTGTTTGGTTTTTGGAGACAGCATGTTCCATATCGAGGACAAATTTTAACCCCGTTTATATACAAAGTGACAAGGAAGAGTTGGAGAGGGGAAACGAAACACAGGTTGCCTTTGAATTAGCAACAAAGGCTCTTCAAAGGGCCTCACACTTACGGCCCATGCAAAAAGCAGAAACAGAGTTAAACATGTCTGTAAATGGGGCACGTGCCAATTGGAGCTTCTGGCAAAAACAGGGAAAGAAAAAGGTTCCCTTGGGTTCTGGCGGAAGAAAACTCATGTCACGAGAGGAGTAATGGATGCAGATTATCAAGGATAAATCAAATTCTGTTCAGCAACGGTGAACAAGATTTAATTATTCAACCCATAACAGAACTATTACTGATATTGCCAGTTTTAAAAACAGTTATGAGAAACGGAGCCCCACCTCAGATCACCACCGCTCTGGAGAAATATGTACGTAGTACATAATTTTATTTTGCAGATCCTGCACGACTGGATTTACCTGCCAACCACCACGGTCCATTTGGAAAAAGATACCATCTGTGTGCCTGGATGTGAAGAACGGCCTCACCTGAAATTATCCCCAGTGCCTGCTGTCAGAGCTTGTGACCTGAGTGCAGTGATGGCATTGCTAACGGCACGTTGCCACTGTGACCAAGGCACAGGTTGGATGAACAGATTGATAACTTTAGGACAAGGTTGAACAACTTTGCTCTTTCTTGCTAACTGCCATGTGTGTGGAGGCCCAGGAGGATGGGAACACTGGCCGTGGATGGCCTGTGCAACCCAAATGGTGGGATAGCAAAACAAGTGCAGCCCATGAGGGAATAGAGCTCTGGGCCAGGACAGCAATCCCTGCCAGATGCAGCAATACAGAGAAATGATCAGAGAAACGGGGAAAAATACACAGCAATTGAAACACGTTCAGATTACTTCACGTGTCCTAACCTATGATGACTCAAAGACCACACCTGCAACGGTCCCCCAGAGCAAGGCTGTGTCTATACGAGAATTAAGTTTTGACACGAGATTTCTGACTTACGAATATTAAAGCCTTCTTCATAGTTTGAAGGAAAAGGCTGAGCTGTTGGAGGCTCTGGTCAGCTACATTTCTGCCCTTCTCGAGTGTAGTTCAAGTTTCATACACAGCAAGGTGTGAAGAAAAGCTCCCCCTCCAGTCCTAGAGTTAAAGAAAGTCCAAGCAGTAAATATCAGGCTACAACAAAGCCCAAGCTTCTGAGTTCAAGGACATCCTCTGAAGCCTAATTTAAGGCAGTAAAATTCACCTTCTTGCCTCAGGTTAATATCTCCAAGCTATTTTCAAAGATCTTTTCATTACCTCTCGATACGTTTGCATACAGCTAGTAGAACAAACAGAGCTAATAAAGAGACCCAAACACACACAGTGAAGGCATGAAAGTCCAGCAGTTCCAGCAGTGGGGGAAACA